GGAATAACCTGACATTTACAACTTTGCTCAAAATATAGAGATTGTTGTATAGACTGTTGCGCTGCTATCTAGTCACGTTTCCATAGCAAACACCATACTGGAGGTTTCTACGACAGCAGAATACAAATTTACATCCCCATGCAAAGCAGCGCTGCATTAACTCAGCTGATAAGGCCTGCTGACGTAGAGTGAGTGTGAGGCTGTGTGTCACAGTGACCGCTGTTGTTGTTGCATCGCTGAACTACATAGTGGTCAACCACAAAGGTACAAATAACCCGTGAAGGTGTTCCAGAAAAGTGCCAGGAAAGATTACTAAGAAGAACCGGTCTCACTGAGAACACAAGGAACCACAACAACAGGTAAACACGTCAATCCAACTCTTTCACAGCTCCATCAAAATCATGAACAATTATTCTGGACAGCAAGAAAGACATCCAGATGAAGCTCCACATTTTTAAAGCCACGTATTGTTGCTCAGTTAAAAAACGTCTTCCTCAAGGCCAGTTCATCAACAACAGGGCTACCTGTGACAACTGAGATCAGCCTCTCACCACCATGACTGGAAGGGTCCATATCATCTGCTCCCTCTTGAATTTGACTGACAAGAAGGAACGCCAACAAGCACATCGGCGTTAAACTCGGCAAAACACGAGCATCACTGTGAAAAAGGAAAGTGGCACAATAGTTGTGCTTTCTTCATCACAGAACGTCCAAAAATCAACTACGACTCTATGAAGTGTGCAGGTCTGAACACTATACTTGTGTTCAGCGCTCCACTTCCTATTATTCCCACTGCAAAGAAACTGACTGTGATTCAGTGGCAGGAGTAGCAGAGGGTGAAAATGACTGAATGAAGTTACATTTCTAAAATAGTGTTTGTTTTCACAAATACAGTATCCATCCATCCATCCATCGTCATCCGCTTTGTCCGAGGTCGGGTCGCGGGGGCAGCAGCCTAAGCAAAGAGGCCCAGACCTCCCTCTCCCCAGCCACCTCCTCCAGCTTGTCCAGGGGAATACCAAGGCGTTCCCAGGCCAGCCGAGAGATATAATCTCTCCAGCGTGTCCTGGGTCTGCCCCGGGGCCTCCTCCCGGTGGGACGTGCCTGGAACACCTCACCCAGGAGGCGCCCAGGGGGCATCCTTGTCAGATGCCCGAACCACCTCAGCTGGCTCCTTTCGATGTGGAGCAGCAGCTGCTCTACTCTGAGCCCCTCCCGGATGGCCGAACTTCTCACCCTATCTCTAAGGGAGAGGCCAGCCACCCTTCGGAGGAAGCTCATTTCTGCCGCTTGTATCCGCGATCTCGTTCTTTCGGTCACTACCCACAGCTCGTGGCCATAGGTGAGGGTAGGGACGTAGATCGACCGGTAAATTGAGAGCTTCGCTTTTACACTCAGCTCCCTCTTCACCACGACGGACCGGTGCAACGTCCGCATTACTGCAGCTGCAGCCCCAGAGAGGTGACATTCCATGTCCCTATTGCCAGTCTTGGCAGCCGGGGGTCAGTCCGCCAGGGCCTCCGCTCCTGGCCGCCACCCGACACACAATGCACCCGACCCCTATGGCGCCTCCTGCGGGTGGTGGGCCTGCGGGAGGATGGGCCCATGTCTCCTCTTCGGGCTGTGCCCGGCCGGGCCCCATGGACTAAGGCCCGGCCACCAGACGCTCGCCCTCGGGCACCCTCCCCGGGCCTGGCTCCAGGGCGGGGCCCCGGTAACCCTATCCCGGGCAGGGGAAACTGTTCCCTCGGTGTCCTTTTCATAAGGGTCTTATGAATCGCTCTTTGTCTGGTCCCTCACCCAGGGCCAATTTGCCATGGGAGACCCTACCAGGGGGCAAAAGCCCCCAGACAACATAGCCCCTGGGATCCCAGGGACACACAAACCCCTCCACCACGATAAGGTAGCGATTCAAGGAGGATTCAAATACAGTATCGATAATATTAAATCATCTCATTGCATCCTGTAAAACATTCTGCTATGTAATCTATTCAGGTTTAGGATATGAAGGAACTCTTTGATGTGAACTGTTTCAAAATGACGACTAAAACAGATGTTAGAAGTGTTGTTAAATCACACGAGAGATTTCCATGTTTGTAGAAGGAGCAGGTGCCCGTGGTGGTTGAAGGTCATGCTATCAAGAAGCTGTCGTTGGTTGCTCTAATGCATGAAATCAAACATGCATCACAGTGGTGCCGTGAAATCCCCAAAACTCACAGAGAGGAACTTTAATACAACGAATCTGTTGCTTTGATTCTATCAAAACTCTATCTCTCAAACACGAAGAAAAAGCTTTACTGTATGAAATTTACACAGAGCTCTGTTCATTCTGGACTGAGTGGGAGGGGTTTTTGGTTTTTTTAGAATTTAAGTTCATTTGCTTGTCATCTCTGGGCAAGCTGACCAATCAGAGCAGCCTGGAGTTAGTGGGCTGGGGAGTGTAAAAAAGACAGGAGTATAAAAGAAAAACAGAATGTAACCAAAATAACCCCCAAAATCTGAGCCTGTGAGTGTACCCGGGCTCCTCAACCACAGTCTCTATAAGCACATATGATACACGATGATGAGTGCCCACCTCTGGCCCTGGACGGACAGCTTTGTGAACATTGTCTGCTGCAGTATGCACAATCAGCTGCTAAATGGAAGCATCACTTCCCTGCTGTAAAGTGCCATTCAAAGTGAGATTACTTTAAAAACGAACCTTATTACTCAAGAGAGAATCACACCCATCATCCTTGATAGTTTTACAAATGCAGTTAAATGTTCGTTCAGGTCACGTTACTGTTCTGTCAGCTCTGTTCCTCACGGACAACGACGATCGTAATGATAACAGCAGATTCAAGCATGTGGAGCCGTTCAGTGTGGAATAAACACTATTGCTAGACCTGACCCGAAGTTAGCTGTCACTGCAGCAAGCCACTCACCAAATGTTTGGACTTGAGCCTCAAACCTTCTCTCAAACAAATTAACGCTCCACTTTCCCACATGAGTAAATGTTCAATTGTACTGTGAGTCAACAGAAAAAGGGAAGATGACTTTTACCTCTAAAATCTTAACACTCTCAGATGTGTGTCTCTTGAACCCCTTATTACATGTTTATATATTAGATTCCCCACATTTCTAAGATTTGAGTTTATTCTATTTCAGAAAAGTGACGATGAGGAGGAACACGCACTTTTTGGTCAGATCTGCAACCTGCTTTGAGTTAATGTTTCAGGCACAATTATCCCTCGAGAAACTACCATGCACAAATCAGGCTTGAATGAATAAATGGTGGTGAGGAGTGATCGGAGGATAACACAACAAAGGTGAATCTTTCTGACTGTAAGCCCATTACGCTGCTGATGTCCTGGCAGAATAGGCTCTCGTGAAAACTGAACTCATAATTGCGGCAGTCAAGCCTGCTGTAGCAATTAGAAATGGTGCCATGTGACTGCTTTGATAAGACTGGACGACTAGATAATCCCACCCTGTGTGTATGGTCACATATGATCGTCAGAGTGTAACTGGCAATCTGTTTGAGGCATATTTAAGCCGCAGTATTACAAAGACTGAAGTCACGCTACCTGAAAATCTAAACTGTGCTAAGGCAACATAATAACATTAATAATAATAAAGATGTCCGGTCAAACTTCCCTGCGGAAGCCTGGTAAAGATATGACACAGTAATAGATGTGTAACAGGCTCTCATGGCTGGAATCCGGACTGACAAAGTTCAGCTGTTGCCAACCCAGGGAGTAAAGTGCAACAAGAAAGCCATCAGGGATAAGATCTCTGTGTGTTTGCAGATAAATGTTCACCCATATCTTACATAAGTGCCGCTATGCTTACACTGTATCCATTGCTTCACCTGTGCGTACTTAAACTAACCTGACAACAAAATGCTTCCAGTAAAGCCCATACGAGCTGAAATACATCATGACGCTGCATTAGATTACAGGCCTGTCAACGCTTGTTTGTTTACCAGAGACCAGCCAATGGCTTCCCCAGTGTTAAAAAGCCCACCTGATCATTTTTAAGAGACTGACTGCAGCGGCAGCTATTTAAAGCACAACTGGTTGTTGTTCCGCTCCAACTACACGGCTAGCTGGTGGACGCTAGGCTCCGCAGAACCTGACAGCTCACTAGCAACAACAGTAACGATTAAGCAGCACATGGCTCGGTTTGAAAACCGGGAGACGAGGGCTGCAACAAACAGTCTGGAGGCATTCCCCACTGACAACTTAGGTGAAAGCCAGCTAACTGTCTAGCTACTAGACAAGCAAGCTAGTGGTAGCAGCACAGACATAAACGTTAGTCAGATGCAGTTAGCTTGAAACAGAGGCAACCTGTGACGCCATCCAAAAATATATATAAATGAAAAATATATTCAAGCACGAATTCGAGATTTCTTTCACAACTGTTTCGCCAAATACTGTCCGCGCAGCCCATCCCTCCTCGCTAGCCAGCACTAGCTCCCACAGCAATTAGCTGGACAGGACGTCAAACCAAGCCTAGTTCAACAACCTGCCAATTTAACTAGACCTTGCACTTAAATAAAGACACGCGCTTCATAAAAATACTTCAGGATTATCTCTATGCTATAAGGAATAATAATTAAATTCGGCGCGGTCAGATTTTACACAGCGACTGTTTAACTACGTTATTTTTCAAGATTTCATTATCCACATACGCTTTCCGCTGCAACCCAGCGTTGTCTCTTACGAGGGCAAACGACTGCGGAAAATACATGCTCGGCTAGTGATTAACTAAACATCAGAAAAAATAAGGAAGCTTTTCGACAAATTTTAATGCCGAAATGAATACTGGGCACAACAATTCCATCGAGGCCGTGCGTTTACTTTATACCCGGCGTCTACTTCGTATAACAGGTGAACCCAGTTAAAGCGTTACACTTTAACGGGTGGTCAGGACGTTCTCTTTTCCATATGGCTAGCCCAAAAGCAGACAGCTAACCTAGCGCAACGACAGATTTCTACTTCCCACGATTTTTGGCTTACCTCTCTTAACGGCCTCGTCATATGACAGGAATCCTATCCTCGACTCCTTGGCCCCCATGCTCCCCTCATTTCATTGCAGTGTGAGGAAATAAACGTTACGAGCTGAGTTGGACAGGGGTGTTTGTCGCCTTATCCGTTTATTGTGAAATGGGCTCCTGGCGGTATGTGTATGTGGTGAACGGGTGAATGTTTTTCAGCGACGCCTCCATTCTGTCACATGATCTGACTCTACAGGTCAGTTGATCTGCTAGTTCTAATACGAGTGAACGCAACCCGAATCACATACAGGGGTGGGGGGTTTCGACTTCAGACGGGCTTTTCAGTCTTATCCGGGAAAATGCAAAACAGCACTTTTACTTAGTGTGCGAAGTCATACCAAGCTGTCAGTGTGCGACGAGTGCAGCCACAGTTTAAAGCAGTGATAACAGCCCCACCGTGTGGTGGTGCTGCTGAATAACGCTAGCTGACTCTCCCCACAGCGACCCCCGAAGGTACGTTCAGTCAGACGAGACTGGTGGCACATAGCAGATGAAAGTTTGCAATATCTAGTGTCTAACGCGTATATGGTGTTTGTTGCATTTCAGTGAATGTGGGAAGTAGTCCACTTATGTCAGCCGTTCTGTAGTTCAGAATTTTCACACCAAAGTCGTAAATACTTATTTAAAGTTTGTCATAATGCTTGCAGGGGCGGATCTAGAAGGGTGGCATGGGGTGGCAAGTGGCACCCTAAAACGATCTCTTGCCACCCCAAGTGCCACCCTAGTTTTACATATCGTTAGCTTCATAGCATAAGTGCCTAAGTCATTTTTTGGTCAAATTGAGATTTTTGCCTAACTTTACTCCCCTACCACTGCTGCATCATCCTGTCCGTCTGAAACACAAAACACAAAAAAATGACTTAGGCACTTATGCTATGAAGCTAACGATATGACAGTGTTGTTTATTAAAATAAGATAGTATTAACACTTTAAGTGCAGTTACAGTTAACAGTGAATATAAATTCTAAAACTGAATATATTGCATAGTGTTAACCCCCTCCACCATTAACAAATGGTTCAACCCACAGCGCAGACCTCTTGTTTTCAGTAGTAAGCGATGCTTATGATTGTGCCAGAGCACATTTTGAATCAACACCAAGGGAATTTCAGATTTCAGATAGATGGTTGGTCGTTACACTCTGGAAATGGAATAAAGTGAGTGTTATTAACCCTCTGAGGTCCACAGACACGCTCACTTCCTTTTTTTTTTTCTTTTTTTTTTTTTTTGTGTCCCGTTTGGATCTTTAGCCATCAGAATTGTTGTCTTAAGGCCAAGAAAGATGCCAAGCGGATTTATTTTACCAAGTGGATCATCATGGCCTTGCCATATTGGTCCATTTGATTGACCTTTATTATAATTATGAATTTATTTTATTTTCAGTTGCTACAAACGGGACAGACATGACTGGGGGATAGGACAGGGAGAAAGAATGAAAGAAAGAGAGGGAGAGAAAGAAAACCAAAGGGGAGAAGAGACGGTGAGAAGGGGGGGAAGAAAGAAAAAAAAACAAAAAAACACCTGGGTCACCTGTATGGAAAAAAAAACAGAAGAGAAAGCAAACAACAAAGAGCAACATAATAAAAAAAACAGCACCATCACAATAAACTAGCTAGCAGTAGATATCAGTAGATACTAAATAATAAACGATATTGTGCAGCACGCAAGATAGACAGCGCACAATGTGCTTTGAGGCAGCAGCCAAGAAAGCTTGTAGTCCGCGTCTGTGAATACCCGTGTGTACACCTGTGTGCATACCTGTGTGGATCAGCATGCTTGCATTCCAAAGGTTTCTCCATGTAAGATCTGCTAGAGGGTGTGGGGGGGCCACAGCCCCGTCCTCCAGGGCATGAAGCAGGTATGGAGGAGATCAAAACTCCAGACATCCAGAGGCCCCCAGAACACAAGAGACCAAGGAAGACCAACAGAGGGGCAGCCGCGCCACTGTCCCAGAAAGAGCTGAGGAGAGTCCCAGATGAGGGCTCACTCAGCAGCCGCGGAGCAGAAGCCAGGGGGAGTTGCAGTGACGCGCCCGTGAGCTCCGCCGGCAGCCAGCCTGTGCCTGAGTGACCGAGCCCCAGGCCGAGAGGCCGGGGCACCCCACCTCCGAAGTGGCCCGAGCGAGCCCCAGGCTCCAGGCCCCGATAAGCGGCCGCCAAGGAGTGAGCCGGTGTGTACCTGGACGACCCATCCCCCGGACACAAAGAACCACCAACGCACCGATGTCTGAGGGAGTCCGCCACTGGCAGGGGAAGTGGTGGTGGGGAGATAGGCCTCCAAACCTTGGAGGGCCTGAGATGTCCCCAGAGAGGTGGCGCTCTGAACCCAACCTGACATATAGACACAGACATACAGGCACACACAGACACAAACATCCATTCCCACCCTCATGCTCTCATATGCACTTACTCCACACTCAACCAACGTGGAGACAGACATAAAGAGACCTGTACACACGATCACACTCCCCAAGCGTACTCTACAAACCGGGTCTAGGTCCCCCTGCCCCTGGAGGGGGGAACTGCACCCAGACCCAGGTGGTGTTTCTTTCACAGTCCGTTGATTACCCCTTCCGCTCAGGTGGGGGAGAGGCAGACGCGCACCCAGCGACTCCATGCAGGCTAGCAGGTGAGGCCCCCACACTTCCCAGACCCGCAGTCCTGTGCGGTATCTGGCAGATGAACGGGGGTGATGACGAGAAACTTAACGCTGCTCACTTCCAACTCCATGTGCTGCAAGCTGCATTACAATGCGAAGTCTTTTCGTTCCAGTGGTCCCGAATTTGCTTAAACTAAATAGTATAATATATATATATATAATATATATATATATATATATATATTATGTATTATATACGATATAAAAAGATGATATATAATACAACGTATATATATCTAAATAAATATAATAATAATAATAATAAAGCCATGCTTTTTTCTAAATAATGTCGTCACGTTTGGTTTTTTTCTTCTTTCTTGTTTTCTTTTTATTTTTAAATTAAGCATCTTCTAATGAGAGTGCAAAAACAGTAAAGAAAGAAAAAAAGAGACCTCTTTCCTCTCGATGGAAAAATGCACCATGTCGACCAATTTTTTTAAAAAAAAGTCAGCATCTGGGATTTGGTTGTTTAGGAAGAGGGGAAAGCAAGACAGCGAGAGAGAGACAGAGATCGATAGCCAGTTTTGAGATGTGGGAGATTTGTGATGTTTAGCGTGGAGTGTATAGTTAGTATGTTGTGTAGTCATAGTTTTGCTTTGTGTGTCAGTGAGGCCACTAATGACTGTCACAAAGGCACATTGCAATGTAAACACTGTCACCAGGTGAAAACAGGAGCAGTGCTACACCTCCTGTTGTCCTCTTGTGGTGGACATTTTTTTTACTGGCACAAGTAGTTTGTGGGGCATCTTATTGTGACACCGGATTGTTCTTTCATTTTAGTTATAGTAGTATTTTTAAATGGTTGTACCAAATTTTAAAAATGCCAGATGTATTGGTTGCATTTTCAGATAAATAGTTGTATATGTTTATAAAATGTGTGCACAACTTTTCAAAATGTACAATTTATTTTTGCATTTCAAGTTATAAAAATAATTTACTCAACATGTCTGTGGTTTTGACAGTAAAAAAACCTAACTACTAGGATTTTATGGGTTTTTTTGTGTGATTTCAGATCAGTTGTGTTAATACAGTAAGTCAGTGAAAAAACCAACTAAATTCAGACACATGAGGTTGAGCTGAAAAGAATGATACCAAACAAGGCAGGAAGAAAATAAAAATGAAACAATCTGAGGGTGAAATACAAATGTAAAATCAACAGGAGTCAAAAATGTCCAGTTATATTTTGGACCTCAGAGGGTCAGCGTAACAAATCATGAAAAGTTAGGTTTGGATTTTTGTTCACGACGGTGCAGATTTCTGACATTTTGTGTAATTTAAGCACGTAACAATTTGTGTGAAACTGAAGTTAGCACTTGGACTTAACGCTACAAGCGCCACTTCAACGACCACATGGGATCTGTACAAGACACAAACCGAAAGCATTGGGGGATATATTACACCACAGGTGCCGTATTTGTGGGGGTAGTTACAGAGGTTGTAATTTTTGCAACGAGACTTTGGCTTTAACCGAAGATGGGGCTCCAAGTTCTGCTTTACTGGCCGAATATTGTTGGTGAGAAACACTCAGTTGTGTTACATTGCTGTGTGTTTGTATAACGAGTCACTTAACTGGTGCTGTGAACACAAAGCAGCTTGTTGCCTGCTGGAGCATTTCGGTGTGTTGGGAAGCTGCTGAAGCAGAATGACCACACTTGAAAAATGTGTAGAAATTGTGAGCTGGCCTTAAGTGTATCAAGTACTGTGTGAGTCTCAGTTTGTCATGTCTCTGTGTTTTTCAGGATACATCAGGATTGGCTGGTGTTTGCTGCATGGGCTGCTTACCAGTAGTGTTTCTCCCTCTTTACTCACTGCGTGTATCTCTTGATGGTAATGCACCCTCTGCTTAGCTCGCTGGATCTGTGAGCACAACTTTTGAATGACTTTGCTGAAAATAACTTGAATAATTTCTGCATTTCTCCTAAGCAGGTATATGCAGTTGATCATACATGTACCATATGTGAAGAGGGGCATTTCAAGACTATTTAAAATACTTTTTTAGGTCTTACTGACCACATAAGGCACTTTAGACTCAAAGTTACCTTTAACCATACAGCGCTTTATTCTGTAAACTTCAAGCACTTTATCTGCCTCAGTTTAATAATAAATTAACCCACAATGCTTCACATACTCTGGACTATTTAAAAGGAACCTTCTTATGGCCTCTGACAGTGGACTCATCTCTGTGCTTGTCCTGCTAGACCTCAGTGCAGCATTCGATACTGTCGACCATAATATCCTATTAGAGCGATTAGAACATGCTGTAGGTATTACAGGTACTGCTGCAGTGGTTTGTATCATATCTATCTAATAGACTCCAGTTTGTGCATGTAAATGGAGAGTCCTCTTCACACACTGAGGTTAATTATGGAGTTCCACAGGGTTCAGTGCTAGGACCAATTCTGTTTACATTATACATGCTTCCCTTAGGCAGCATCATTAGAAGACATAGCATACATTTACACTGCTATGCTGATGACACCCAGCTCTATCTGTCCATGAAGCCAGATAACACACACCAATGAGTTAAACTGCAGGAATGTCTTAAAGACATAAAGACCTGGATGGCCGCTAACTTTCTGCTTCTTAATTCAGATAAAACTG